AAGAATAAAAATGATAAAAACCAATAAGAAGAAGAAGAGGAAGAAGAGGAAGAAGGAGGAGGAGGAGAATGATAATAAGAAAAACAATATGAACGGGAGATGTATGCGACACTTTCCCCACTCCTCTGGGCACAGCCCAGAAGCTTTCTAAGGAGGAGACCGTCGACGAGGATGCCAACACCTGCTTGCCGCAAGAGGCTCTCCCAGGGGGGGGGGGGGGGTGGCAGGGTAACATAGGGGTCGCAAGATGTACTAATGGTACTCCCTTAGGTTCCTTTAATCTATAATAGCGCCCCCCCCCCCCCCCCAAAACCCTGTTGAAGAATCACTCCTAGTACCTCGAAGATTTTCAAATCACATTGAGAGCACCCACAGGGATTAGGGTTTAGGGTTTAGGGTTTTGATCACAGGGGGGTGGGGGTTATAGGTGTTGTCCATACTATCGCTTCGGTGGCACGTACGATAAGGAGGCAGGCGATCATCACCCCCCAAGGGGTTCCTAGACCTTCATCCCTAATCCCTAATCCCTAAACCCAAAACCCTAAAGCCTAAACCCTAAACCCTAAACTTTGAGTCAACTTCCAGTGGTGAAGGAAGGGCAGGTGGCTGCGGCGGGAGCGCAGGGCTCTCAGCATGATGTTAAACTCTAAACCCTAAACCCTAAACCCTAAGCCCTAAGCCCTAAGCCCTAAACCCTAAACCGTAAACCCTAAACCCTAAACCCCTGAACCCTGAATCCTAAGCCCCTAAACCCCAAACTTGAGGGAAGTGTTTCGGGCTTCAGGATGCTTTAGGCATTTGGTGCGCGCCGAAGCCCTCAACGGCCCACAGACCCACGAGCCCAACAACCAAGGAGCGCGAACTTCGGGATCCCTCCTCCCTTGTAAACCTCCAAGCAGGGTGTGGGGTTTAGGGGTTTAGGGTTTAGGGGTTTAGGGGTTTAGGGGTTTAGGGGTTTAGGGTTTAGGGGTTTAGGGGTTTAGGGGTTTAGGGTTTAGGGGTTTAGGGGTTTGGGGTTTAGGGGTTTAGGGTTTAGGGTTCAGGCTTTAGGGGTTTAGGGTTCAGGGTTTAGGGGTTTAGGGTTCAGGGTTTAGGGCTTCGGGACGCGCCTTCAAAGCCCTAGGGCCCCGGAGCCGCCAAAGCCCGAAGCCTTTCCCGCTGGATGCCGAGGGTCCCGCCGGGAGGAAAGGGCCAGGCGGCAGCGCTTAGTGCACAAAGTCCCTGCAGGGTTTAGGGTTTAGGTTTAGGGTTTAGGGGTTTAGGGTTTAGGGTTTAGGGTTTAGGGGTTCAGGGTTTAGGGTTTGAAGGAGGCTTCCTGAAGTCATGTCTAAAACTACGCAATGTGAATTCCCCAAACAGTCTACTGTTGGGGTTCTAAATTCATGTAAGGATTGCCGACATTCTGAGGACTGTTGCCGGGTTCCTGGCCTCCCTGTCTCCCTTTGTCTCCCTTTGTCTCCCTTTGTCTCCCTTTGTCTCCCTTTGTCTCCCTTTGTCTCCCTTTGTCTCCCTTTGTCTCCCTTTGTCTCCCTTTGTCTCCCTTCATGTGGGTGGGCCTCCCTTTGTCTCCCTTCGTCTCCCTTTGTCTCCCGTCGCCTCCACTGTTTCTTCGACGTGCCTTTGACTGTTTGGGGTCTTCGGTGGTGCAATGTGTTTTGAAGGGAGACTCCAATACCCCTGAATCAAGGAAACCTTGTGGATCCTTATGCTACTTTTCAGGAGCGTTCCTCAGTGTAGGTGTTTTTTGGGGCTTCTTGTGGGACTTAGAGGGTCTAGGGGCTTCACGAAGTCGTAGGAGCTTCACGGGCCAGGAGGGACCGTCAACATGATCCCTATATTATACCGCCCTAAGCCCTGAAGCCCTAGAGCCCGAGAAAACTCTCTGATAGCGCTTAGCTCCTGCCAAGCCCACAGACGACCCAACAGATTCGGCAAACGAGGCCCGTCATTTTGGCGACTGACACAAAATACGTACCTATCTGGACGTGGGTTTTAGTGACTATTTTAGTGGTCGCCCTAAACCCAGGGTGCCGGACCGTTCTTTTTCTAAAGCTTTTGTTGGACAAGGTCTTCACTTATGGGGTTTCGGGTTTAGGGCTTCGGCTTTACTTCACGCTTCTCTTCGCAGCACAGTGTCTGGTGCACAAAGAGGCCCTGCGCCCTAGACCCTTCTAAACCCTAAACCCTAAACCCCCTAAATCCTAAATCCTAAGCCCTAAACCCTAAACCCTAAACCCTAAACCCTAAACCCTAAACCCTAAACCCTAAACCCTAAACCCTAAACCCTAAACAAGACAGCCAGGCTGCGGCCCCGAAAGCGCCTGGGAAGGAGGCGGAGAAGGAGGCGCAGAAGCAGGCACCAAAGTAGGGTTTAGGGTTTAGGGTTTAGGGTTTAGGGTTTAGGGTTTAGGGTTTAGGCTTTGGAAGTTCAGGGCTTGAGCTGCCTGAGTCGCCAGCTGAGTACTTTCGATTTCTTAGCCTGGTTTGTTGCTCAAGATTTGTAGAAGTTTGTGGATTTTGGGGTGTTCTGAGTAAATGGTTTCAGCGGCTCCCCTAAGCCTTCAACCCTGAACACTAAGCCCGACATGCTAAGAAGCCCAAACCCTGAACCCTGAAGGCCTCAACTCCCAGGTAGGATAAGGGGGACCCTTCAAAGGGAACCCTCTGAACCCTCTTCTGGGTCTCTTAAACAGGGACCTTATTCAGAGGGTCTATATTCCCAAGGTTCCCCCTAATCCTATCCCCTATCAATGCTATCGTGACCTTCACCCCGAATTCCAGGCACCAGCGCCTGGCGAGCTTGTGGCCCAGTGCTTCAACAGGATTTGGGGTTCAGGGTTCGGTCTAGTGGGTTTAGGGTTTAGGGTTTAGGGTTAGTGGTCCTATTGAACATGGTCCCTTACCTGTTTGAAAGGGTTTGGGGTGTGGGGTTTGGGGTGCAGGGTTTAGGGTTTCGAGTGCGACCTTGGGGTTTAATGGGCCCAAGGTAGACTCTTTAGCCCTAAGCCCTAAACGGCTGGTTGTGCTGGGGTTCATGTTGATGCCCAAAGCCCACGACGCCACGCCTTTACCAAGGACCGTTTAGTTGTTACCACGGAACCCTCCTGAAACAAGGACCCTTGCACCTTTCTCTAGATGAGGTGTCCCTTTGTTGGGTGCCAAAACAAAAAGCACCCGAGGGTGTATCGTCTTTTGCAGGGGTAGGGCCCAAAAACTTCTTCCCGGGGCTCTCCCTAGACCCTAAACCCTAAACCCTAACCCCCAACCCCTAAACCCTAAACCCTAAACCCGAAACCCGAAACCCGAAACCCTCAACCCTAAACCCTGAACGTGAGGCCTGCGGCCCCCGCCGCCGGAGCCCCCGCAGCCGAAGCGCCCTCTGCCGGGGCCAAGACGGCCGAGCAGCCAGCTGCGGCTGCGGCAGCCGGTGCAGCCGAGGTGAGGGTTTGGACTCGGGATGTTCCCGCTTACGCTAAGAGTCCTTATGTAGGACTTAGGGTTTAGCCTTGTTCCCCCTTGAACTAAGAGCCCTTAATGGGGATTGCAGTACCCCCCCCCCCCCGCTACTAGAAATTCCTATTCAGGACGGTTAGCATGTGGGAGAACATCCCAAGTTTTGACTCTGCTTTTGGTCTAGGGTCAAGGGTCTTGCTGGTGCAGGTTGTGCTGGGTCTAGTTTGGGGTTCTGGGTTTATTTTGCTTGTGGGCTTGCAGCATTTTTGTAGGATTTACTTTCCGGAGTTTGTAGGGTTTGTAATTTTTGGGATTTAGGGTTCAAGGCTTCGGGTGTGTAACCCTAGACCCTAAAACCCAAACCCTAAGCCCTAAACCCCAAGCCCCAAGCCCTAAGCCCTAAACCCGAAACCCTAAACCCTATACCCTAAGCCCTAAACCCTAAACCCTAAGCCCCAAACCCTCGGTTCCCTGGCAAGCCATCGCCAGGCGACGAAAGAGCGGAGCATGGCCGCAGTGGGGGCGCTCGGAGGGTTTAGGGTTTAGGGTTTAGGGCTTAGGGCTTAGGGTTTCGGGTTTAGGGTTTAGGGTTAGGGGTTCTGTGGGTGGGTCTTAGGGGTTTAGCGCTGAGGGATGAGGGTCGGTAGCACATGCATTGGCGCTTGACAAGGTTTCTGGAGGGTGGCAAAAGTCCCTGTCGTGTTGTCGTCATGGTTTTTGTGGTCCGAATTGCAGATGTTGCAGATTTGCCGGGTTCTCCCTAAACCCTAAACCCTAAACCCTAAACCCTAAACCCTAAACCCTAAACCCTAAACCCTAAACCCTAAACCCTAAACCCTAAACCCTAAACCCTAAACCCTAAACCCTAAACCCTAAACCCTAAACCCTAAACCCTAAGCTTCTGGGCTGCAACAAGGGCTTGTTTGCTCTCACCAGCCTAAGAGCCAACCACAGATGGAGAACTGACCGCATCGCCGAAGAAGCTGGAGTCAATATGCCCTCAGCCCAACCCTCAAATGCTATGAATCCCTATTAAAGGAAACTCTTGGAATGTTCCCCCTTATACTAACAGTCCTTCATCGGATTGTTGTACCCCCTATTAAAATCCATATTAAGGGGGAACCTTTCAAGGAACCCCCCCCCCCCCCCCCCCCCAAACAGGGGGGGAGGGGGGTAAGGGGTGCAAGGCCCCAACCCCTAAACACCGAAAACCCAAATCCTAAGGCCCCTAAGCGTGTTTCGCGAGATTTTAGCTTCCACACCCCCCCCCCCCCCCCCATGTCATGTGTTGAGGCGGCCCTGGCTCCTCCGCCACCTTTGGCGCAACGAGGCGGCTGCGGAGTTCTGTGTGCATGCGGTGAGAGTCACCAAGCTGAGCCACCATGTTCCTGTATGGGGGGCCTAACGTGAACCCTAGGCAGACTGGAGTCTATCTCCTTTGAGCCTTTGAGCTTCTCAGCCGCCCTTCCTTTGCCATTCTTGTTTTCGAAGTGTAGCGCTCGCACCGTGCAGCTCATCCTAGTTGTTGCTCGCTCCCGTTTTTGGCCATGGACGAGAGCTGGGAAACAGCGCAGCTGTGGTTGGCAAGCTTTGCCCAGGCAATGGATAGGCGTGACTGCGACGGCTTGGCGCGCCTCTTTGTGGAAAACTGCAGCTGGCGCGACCTGCTGTCTTTCACGTGGGACATCCAGACTCTTGAAGCTTGGTAGCCCAGAGTGGTACCCTTTATTTTTGGTTTTGGTTCTGGTTTCCCTCATATATTATATAATCACCCCCAAAAAAGGGGTGCCCTTATTATAATAAACTGGGCTTCTTAAGGAGGGCAGGATGCCCATCATCAGCATGGTGTCGTCGGTTCTCGACCAGGTCAAGCCGCACGGCTGGGTATTGGAGGCGGCCACCGAAGCGGATGGGGTCGTCTCGGCGCGCTTCGTCTTCCGGACCGCCTACACAAGCTGCGTGGGGCACGCGAGGCTTCGCAAGGGCCTCTGTTGCACTCTGCTTTCCGCCGCCCGGGCCCTTCACGGCCACGAGGAGCAGCGAGGGCTCACAAGGAAGCTCGGTGGCCACGGGCCTTTGAAGAGGGTGGAGGCCTCAGACCCACCCGCGCAGCCCTCGGAGCCCTACGTGGTGATCGTTGGGGGCAGCCAGTGTGGGATCACGTTGGGCGCCCGGCTCAAGCAGCTGGGAGTTCCCAGCATCGTCCTCGAGCGGAACGAGCGCCCTGGGGACGCCTGGCGCAAGCGCTACGATGCCTTGCGCCTGCACTTCCAGGTCACGTACTGCGAGTTCCCCTACCTGCCTTTTCCAGACAACTGGCCAAAGTACCTGTCGAAGGATCAGATGGCAGACTGGATTGACATGTATGCCAAAGTCATGGATGTAGACGTGTGGACGAGCTCATGCTGCGTGAACGCAACGTGGGACGAGATGAAGTGCCGCTGGACAGTGCTGGTTGACAAACATGGCCAGCGTGTCGAGCTGCAGCCACGGCACCTGGTCATCGCGACGGGCTTGAACGGCACGGCGTACGTCCCCGAGCTCCGCAACCAGGACACTTTCAGGGGAGTCGCCATGCACTCCTCGCAATATGTCTCAGGTGCGCCCTACAGAGGAAAGAGGGCCGTGGTCGTGGGCTCCGGAACCTCTGCCCACGACATCTGCCAGGATCTGTGGGAGCACGGCGCGGAGGTGACCATGATTCAGCGCAGCCCCACGCCCATCACGAAGGTGAGCACCCACCAGCAGGTGGGTGGTTGTCAAAAAACATGATATCCTTTTTTGGGGGTACCCTAAAATGTTAGGTGCCGTATTCTGATAGGGATCCAAAAAGGGACCGTCATTCTGACAGCCACCAGCAGGTTTGCTTGCAGCGGCTTTACTCAGAAGAGGCCAGGGCCAGTGGAATCAGCACCGAGGCGGCGGATCTGGAGTTTATGTCCCTGCCTTACAGGCTTCTCCTGGAGAAGCAGAGCCGGGCTGCCCGTGAGCTCCGGGAGCTCGATGCAGACTTGCTCCGCCGGTTGGAGGAAGCCGGCTTTCTCTTAGACTCCGAGACTACCAACACCTCGAACTATCTCGCCTCTGGCTCCGGTACCTACTTGGAGGTGGGTGCGTCGGAGTTGATTGCCGAGGGGCTTATCAAGGTGAAAACCGGCACTGCATCAGCCTTGGGCGAAGGAGCTGTGATCACCGACGACGGCACTCAGCTCGGTGCTGACCTGGTCGTCTTTGCCACGGGCTACCAACCACTGTCGCAGCTGATTGCCGAGCTCCTCGGGAAAAGCGTGGCTGCGCGCCTGGGCAGGATCTGGGGCCTGGGCACAGGTGGGCCGGGGGATGCGGGGCCGTGGGAGGGGGAGCTCCGCAACATGTGGAAGGCGACGAGCGTGGAGGGTCTCTGGCTCCATGGCGGCAACTTGCTGCAGAATCGCATCTACTCGCACTTCCTGGCCCTGCAACTCAAGGCCCACCATGCCGGTCTTCCCATGAGCATCTACAGGCCGCGCAGCCCCACGGGCTTCGAGTTTGCCGGGGCCTGAGACAAGAAGAGACGCAACACCAGACATCATTGAACCTGCGAAAGTGCAGAGGGCTTTTGGAGCCTTGGAATTACGTGCGGTGTGCAGTTGTAAAGAGCACCTGCTGAGGCTGAATAAAAAAAGCCGCTTTTGTGTTGTACAGCCTGGGCCCATCCAGGATGCAGCGCTTCTTTGTGCAAGAACGCCGTGAGAAGAAGCTGTTCGATGCGATGCGTTGTCTACACATTGAGGTCCTTTTTGGGGGGGATCCTTAGTACCAAGGGGCGAAACTACCCAAAACAGCCCAACAAACATCCTGAAAGTCCTTGCGCCAGGCCGCCGGGCCGCGCGCCGGGCGGCCAAGGCGCGTGCCTGGTGGGGCTTCCTGGCCCAGGAGGCAAAAGGGCTTCTGGGGCCTGTTGGGCCCCTTAAAGCTTGGACTTCCGCAACTTGAGAGACCCCTCAAACCTCTAAGGCCCCTCTAAAGCCCCTAAACCCCGAAACTCTCAGGCCCCTAACGCCCGAAAAACCCCGAAAGCCCCAAAACCGCCAAGCCCCAGCTTGCAGGCGCCGTCATGACTGTCGACCTTGCAACCGCCAGGTTTTAGGGGGGTTTAGGGGGTTGTAGCTGTTTTGGGTGGGGCTTAGGGGTTAAGGGGTTTAGGGTTCGGAGGGGTTGGGGTTTAGAGTTTAGGTTGAGTGGTTTCGGGTCTCAGGCTTCAGAGGAGGTTAGGGTTTGGAGCTTAGGGTGTAGGGGTTGAGAGATTTAGGGATACCCCTGGTCTGACTGGCCTACCCAGCCTACCAGTCGCCAGTAGGGCCCCTTAGAAGGGTCCCTTCCCTAGAGCCCTAAACCCTAAACCCTCAACCCTAAACCCTAAACCCTAAACCCAAAACCCTGAACCCTAAACCCTAAACCCTAAACCCTGAATCCTGAACCCTGAACCCTGAACCCTAAGCCCTAGAGCCCTAAGCGCTAAGCCCTGAGAAGGCCTCTTATGTTTCGTAACCGTGTTCGCTTTCGCTAATGCGCCGGCTCCTTTCCTCTGAGGCGGGGGGGCCCCTAGGCTGTGGAGGGGAGAAATGTGGCCCCTAGACCCGAAACCCCAAACCCCAAACCCCAAACCCCAAACCCCAAACCCCAAACCCCAAACCCCAAACCCCAAACCCCAAACCCTAAACCCTAAACCCTAAACCCTAAACCCTAAACCCTAAACCCTAAACCCTAAACCCCGAACCCGTATTTTGAGTTGGGACTGGGATGTCGGGCTTTGCAGCGCGACAAGCCACCCTACGTCAACCCGAGCCTGGCCTGAAACCCCGAATGCAACGCCCCAAGTTTGCACTTTGCACCTGCAAGCCCCACCTCTAACCCCTAAACCCTAAACCCTAAACCCTAAACCCTAAACCCTAAACCCTAAACCCTCAACCCTATATCACGCAAAATCCCCTCCACATCCCGTAGTGTGAGCAGCGGCAGCCAAAGCTCAGAGACAGCCAGCGTGAGCTCCGGACCGCGTGAGAAGGGCTCCCAGCCTAAACAAGTATTTAGGGTCTTTAGGGTGGTAGGGTTTAGGGTTTAGGGTTTAGGGTTTAGGGTTTAGGGTTTAGGGTAAGTATTTAGGGTCTTCAGGGTTGTAGGGTTTTTTGAGGTTTCAGGATTCTCGAGGTTTTAGAGTGTAAGGTGGAGGCTTCAGCTTCGGGCCAACCAGCAGGTTTCGGTCACCTGGAGGCTCCTTCAACTCTGGATGCTGCCACATGCTCGCCGAAAAGACGTGAGATCTGGGTTCAGGGTTTAGGATTTTGGAGCCCTGAACCCGAAACCCTAAACCCTAAACCCTAAACCCTAAACCCTAAACCCTAAACCCTAAACCCTAAACCCTAAACCCTAAACCCTAAACCCTAAACCCTAAACCCTAAACCCTAAACCTCAGGGTTTTAGGAGTGTTTTAGGTGATGGGACGTCGGTGCTGGAGCTCTGACGCAGCGAAGAACCGGGGCGTGAGCAGAGACCGCTAGCCCTTAACCCTAGGTTATTTAAGGTTTGAGGCTCAACGTGTCTAGGTGCTTAGGGTTCAGGGCTTCAGGGTTTTTGAAGTGTAGGGTTTGGGGTTTGAGGGCTTGGGATTCTATAGGGTTTTAGGCTTTTAGGTTTTGGGACAGTAGGGTCGAGGTGACAGCTTCGGGCCTCATGACTTCGGTTGAACGCTTCTGCTTGTGAGATACTGCAAGGATCCCAGCCTCCAGCGGGTACAGGGGCGGGCTTGAGGGTTTTGGAAGGCCTTCGCCCCGAACCCTCCCGCCTTCAGCAGTAGGCCGTTGCGAGAAGTGCTGCCGAATCGGTTTTTCGGCCTGACAACGTGTCCGGAGAAAGGCGGAGCCTTAGGTAGCATCAGGACGGGTATCAGCCCGTTGTCTGGAAGCTTAAGCCCCCGCAGTCCGTCCACCAAGCCCCGAAATCCTTAATCCTTCAACCCTAAACAGCCCCTGAATCCCTTAGTGTAGCCGACCTTATCGTTACACTCTAACCTCCTAAATCCCTGTACCCTAAACCCTAAACCCTAAACCCTAAACCCTAAACTCAATACACAGCCCAGCGGCAAGCCTGCCAATCAGCTAGCGGGGCCATGTCCAGCTTGACCGCCGAGGAGCCCCGCCCCTTCTTCTGCAACGGTTTTTGGGGATTTTCGTGCTTTGGGGTGATGTGGTTTCTGGCTTCTGGAGAGGATTTCGTGGTGCTTTGGTGGTTGAGGAGGATGTTGCACAGAGAAGCGCCCATGGTTACGGTTGCCCACATAGTATTGTATGTTTCTGTTACATCATACTCCGCTCTACTGAACCAAGCTGTTATATACCGGGGGCCATGTCAACAGGGTTCACAGTCCCTGGGCTTGGGGGCCTTAAAAAGAATCCCCAATCCGCCCAAATCAAAACTTCAAACCCTGAGCCCCAAGCCCGGAGCCCCAAACTCATAGGCCTTTGGCAAAGTTCCGGCTTCGGGTGAGGCAGCGAGGCAGGTTTGTAGAGACGCGCTTCGCAAGGACAGTGCGAAAACCAATCTTAAAGCTCAACGCCTGTGTTGGCGGTACTTGTCCTTGCAATGTCTATTTTAAAATCACCACCGTTTTACATGACTTTTAGGATTTGCCAGAAGACGCGATTCGTTCTTATGGTCGATCTTGGGATGGATATCCGCATCAGATACAACAAAGGAAGCTGCGAACTAGACTAGTGACTACTGTGTGTGTGTGTGCGTATATGTAGTAGATTCCCTCAAGCGCCGCAAGCTTCGGCAAGGGAACCCCAATCAAGTTCCACAATCCCATGGTCCTTTCGCGACCTGTGGGATGAAGGTGAACCCTAGACCGTAAACCCTAAACCCTAAACCCTAAACCCTAAACCCTAAACCCTAGGGTACCCTAAACCCTAAACCCTAAACCCTAAACCCTAAACCCTAAACCCTAAACCCTAAACCCTAAACCCTATACCCTAAACTCTACACCCTTCACCCTACACCCTACACCCTAAACCCTACACCCTACACCCTAAACCCTAAACCCTAAACCCTACACCCTAAACCCTAAACCCTCCCATTTGGTTCCGTTTCTTCGTTGCAGAGCAGAACGCCCGAGGTGACAACGAGCCGGGGCCAGGCAGTTCAGCGGAGCCGACGCCGGAGCCTGCTTGTGGGTGGTGGTCAGGGGAGGGTTTAGGGTTTAGGGTTTAGGGTTTAGGGTTTAGGGTTCAGGGTTTAGGTTTAGGGTTTAGGGTTGCCAATTCTCTGAGTGACAGGGGATTCCTGTCAATAAACTTAAGCCTAGGCTTTAGCGTTTAGGGTTGAGGGCACGCTAGCGTAAGAGGACCAAGAGCAAGTAGTATGGTTTCCTTGGTAGACTTCGTGCGCCAGGAATCCAACATACGGGAGCTGAGGGAAAGATGCGAACAAAAGCCGACATGAAAACTTCTTGGTCACCAACTGTATTTCTCGGGTGACTTCATCATATTTCTTATAGTCGTTTCGTACATTTTGGGATGTTCCCCCCTATACTAACAGCCCTTACTAGGGATTATATGCTAGGGGTACAAGAATCCATATAAAGGACTGTTAGTATAAGGGGGAGCATCCCAAATTTTATAGCTTTCTATTTTTTCTTCGGTTTTCATTCTTCTCTTAGACCCTAAACCCTAAACCCTAAACCCTAAACCCTAAATCCTAAACCCTAAACCCTAAACCCTAAACCCTATTTTCATTCTTCTCACGCGGCGCTCTCTGGTTCAAAGCAGTGGCCGCGGAAAGCTTTGGGACACCTGCAGCGTCGGTCAGACTACAGGACCCGGTTCGGGTTTAGGGTTTAGGGTTTAGGGTTTAGGGTTTAGGGTTTAGGGTTTAGGGTTTAGGGTTTAGGGTTTAGGGTTTAGGGTTTAGGGTGCCGGTTCTTGGGCGCTGTTGCTCTTGGTCTCGGCCTCAAGGCCCAACACTAGCAGAAACACAGTCAACCTTCGAGCCAGAACTCTAAATGCTCAGTTTAGGGTTTAGGGTTTAGGGTTTAGGGCTTGGCATTTGGGGTTCAGGGCTTCCCCGATACCCGGAAGCCAGACCCCTGTACCCACCCTGCACCATGAGAATCTTGCATCTCCGGCAGTTCGAACCGCCTGCAACTTCCGGCTTTAGTGTCAGGTCTATAGCCCCATCATGAACTATTTGCAATACAAATAAAGCACAAGGGAATATAATGGATATAACAGACAAAGGTTCTAAGAGGTGAGGTTTTAGGGTTGGGGTTACGGGGTGCCGAAGTTGTTGTTGTTGTTTTTTTTGGGGGGGGGGGGGGGGGAATGGGGTGTTGTCGAAGTTTTTGTGGGACGGCGGGTCCCAAAAATAACGGCCCAACACCCTCAACCCTAAGCCTGAAACCCCCAAAGTGCCGAAACCCTGAAACTTTGAATCCTACACCCTAAGCCCTCAACTCCGAAACTCTCATCCTAAAGCCCCCAAACCCCAATTCCCAAACCCCTAAACCCTAAACCCTAAACCCTAAACCCTAAACCCTAAACCCTAAACCCTAAACCCTAAACCCTAAACCTGAAGCCCCAACCCCGCACCTCCGCGAAGAGGAACTTCGCCATGGGAATCTCCCGCGACTCGCGGCACAAGCACTACAAGACCGGAGGCCGCAGCAAGGCCCCCTTGGTTTAGGGTTTGGGTTTAGGGTTTAGGGTTTCGGGTTTAGGGTTTAGGATTTAGGGTTTCTTTCATGTTAATGTGTCTTTAATCGTATTTTATGATACTATGACATTGGTATATTTTTATGTTAAAGCATGTTAGGGGTTCGGGGAGTGGATTGTGGAGTAGAGTTTAGGGTTCAGGGAGTAGGGGAGTGGGGTCTGGGGATGATTGTTTTGGAGCCTCGGAACAGGGCTCCATTATGAAGGCCCGGTTGAATGACCTGACAACGCTGTAGGACTTTTGGGTCACTCGTTTAGGGTTTAGGGTTTGGCTTCGTAGGTAGCTCTTGCTGCAGGCTTCAGGGAGCTTGGGGCTTCGGAGCCTTGAGGTCTTCATAGGGTGTGTGGTTGAGGGTTCAGGGTTTTAGGGCGCAAGGGCGTTCAGGTTTGAATTCGGTCCCTGGCAGGGTGACAGGCGCTGGCTCTGTTGAGCTTGGGTTTAAGGGCTTTTGCTTAAGGTTTGAAGGCTTAGTGGTTTGGATTTAACTGAACCCTTGAACCCTAAACCGCATGCTTCGTCGGAAACGGCGGAATGGATCTCACCAGCAATGAAGTAGACGCTGCGTTGTAAATCTTCTGAGACACCCCATGGGAACGCAGTCCTTTTACCCTTGGCTTGAGGTCTTGCAACCTAGTCATAATTTTTCTGCGTGGCAGGGCTTAGGGTTGAGTACCCTAAGCCTAAACCCTAAAGCTAAACCCCTAAACCCTAAACTCGAAACCCTAAATCCTGAACCCTAAACCCAGGTTTCTCACTCATACTTGGGGTCACATCCCCAACCCTGTAGGCCAAAAGTAGCACCCCCTGGACTTCCAAGCGCAACCCATCCAGCCCTTGGCCTCAGGTCTCCATCAAGAAGCGCAAGTATGAGAAGCTTGGACGAACCGCAAACCCCAAACCCCAAACCCTAAACCCTAAACCCTAAACCCTAAACCCCAAACCCCAAGCCCTAAACCCAAAAGCCCAAGACGACAGGTCGGGTGCAAAGTCCGAACAGGAATTGTGGCACTGTTTCTTTGGCTTCTTTCCAGAAAATTCGGGACCTCACAATTCAGGAACGAAAAACCATGCTAGGGGCCCCAACATGATGTGAGGAATTAAACCCTAACCCTAAGCCCCAACCCTAAACCCTCAACTCTAAACCCTAAACCTGTACCCTGAACTCCGAAACCCTCATCCTAAAGCCCTTAACCCCCTAACCCTGACCCGTAACCCCGAACCCCCAACCCTTATCCCCTAACCCCTAACCCCTAACCCCTAACCCCTAAACCCCAAACCCTAAACCCTAAACCCTAAACCCTAAACCCCAAACCCCAAACCGTAAACCCTAACCCTAAACCCTAAACCCTAGGCCCTAAACCCTAAACCCTAAACCCTAAACCCAAAACCCCAAACCCTAAACACGCAGTTCCGAGGATGGGCCGCCCTGCTACGCCCTGCAAGCTTGGCCCCAAGCGCGTCGCCCGGTGGCACTCAGCTTGTTCGTTTAGGGTTTAGGGTTTAGGGTTTAGGGTTTAGGGTTTAGGGTTTAGGGTTTAGGGTTTAATTAGGGTTTAGGGTTTAAGGTTTAGGGTTTAGGGTTGTTCCCCCTTGCACTAACCGTCCTTACTAGGTACTATAGTGCCCCCCCTACTACATTCCTATATTCCCCATTAAGGGCTGCTAGTGTAAAGGGAGAACACCCCAATCCTTCTCCCTGATACCTCCCTTCCCGGCCCAGCCAAACCCCTAGAAGCCCGAATGAACCCTACAACCCTAATGCTAAACCCTAATCCTAAACCCTAACCCCTAACGCCTAAAGCCCCTAAAGCCCCTAAAGCCCCTAAAGCCCCTAAAGCCCCTAAAGCCCCTAAACCCCCAAATCCCTAAAGCCAAACACCCCGCAAAAAGTCCGAATCCCACAGCCCGAACCCTCGACCCAAACACCCTCCATCCAACCTTAGCTTAAACCCAAAACCCCTAAACCCTAAACCCTAAACCCTAAACCCTAAACCCTAAACCCCAAGCCCTAAGCCCTAAACCCTCACAATCCCGAAGCCTGTTTCACAGTTCGGAGTCTGAAAGGTTCGGGTCGTCCGCTGCCGTGGCGGCAACAAGTCGCTTGGACCCACACGGTTTTGGGGTTGGGGTTTAGGGTTTAGGGTTTAGGGTGTAGGGTTTAGGGTTTAGGGTTTAGGGTTTAGGGTTTAGGCTTTAGGGTTTAGGGTTTAGGGTTTCGGGTTCAGGGTTTAGGTCAAAAAGAGTCCTAAACCTACATAGGCCCTAAACCCTAAACCCTGAATCCGGATCCCTTAGCCCTAATCCCTCAAGCTTAGAGCCTGACCCCTTCAAAACCCAAAAACCTTCATCCCGAAATCCGAAACTGCCCTAAGCGCTCAATGTTCGAGGCTGTCGGGCTTGATTTCGTAGGGCTTCTAGGGCGTCTAGGACCCAGGACCCTGAGTCCATTTTTTATTCCTAGCTGACTCTTGGACCCTACACCTCAACCCTCAACCCTCAACCCTCAACCCTCGACCCTCAACCCTCAACCCTCAACCCTCAACCCTCAACCCTCAACCCTCAACCCGCAACCCTCAACCCTCAACCCTCAACCCTCAACCCTCAACCCGACCCCCGGGAGTCACTGACAGGGAGCGTCCCAAGCGAGCCAACCAAGCTGCCTTCCATGGGGCGCTAACCCCTAAACCCTAATCGGCTTAGTTGTTTTTGGGGAGGGTTTGGGGTTTAGGGTTGTTTGCTTGGGGCAGGGGCACCCTAAACCCTAAACCTTAAACCCTAAACCCTAAGCCATAAACCCTAAACCCGAAACCCTAAAACCCAAACCCGAGGAAATACCGCGCCTTGCGCCTGGACGCGGGCAACTACGCCTGGGGCTCCGAGAACATCGCCAAGAAGGCCTGAGTTTTGGTTAGGGCTTCGGGCTCGGCTGTTCGGTGGTCTTTTTCGGAAACAGTGACAGACGTCGAAGCATAACAGCGTGCGAACAAGCTGGTTGAGGGTTTAGGGTAACCTAAACCCTAAACCCTAAACACTAAACCCTGAACCCTAAACCCTAAACCCTAAACCCTAAACCCTAAACCCTAAACCCTAAACCCTAAGCGAATCACGTACTAAGCTGTGGCAAGTTGTCTAGGTAGGCCACTGCGACATTTTATATTTCCCTTATTGGGTTTAAGAGGCTCGTATTCACCCTAAACCCTAAACCCTAAACCCTAAACCCTAAACCCTAAACCCTAAACCCAGAACCCTAATATTTAGGAATATTTCCCAGAGGGTTTTAAAGGCCACCCGATAAAGTTGTTTTAGAAGAACCCACCACGGCCACCCTTCCCGCACAAGATTTCTGATGCGGCTGCTGGGTTTAGGGTTTAGGGTTTAGGGTTTAGGGTTTAGGGTTTAGGGCTTAGGGTTTAGGGTTTAGGGTTTAGGGTTTAGTCATGTTGTTGATTCGGGTTCTGCACAGGGAATCCAGGGAAACTAGGAACCCCAGGGGTTTCTTGCACTTTGGGTTTGCGGTCTAGGCTCTTGTAACCCTAAACCCTAAACCCTAAACCCTAAACCCTAAACCCTAGACCCTAGACCCTAGACCCCAAGCCCTAAAACCTAAACCCTAAACCCTAAACCAACTGCGCCCTAACCCTTGTTTAGGGTTGTGGGTTTCGGGTTCAGGGGCTTGGAGAGGTGAGGATTTTGGATGTGGTCTACAACGCCACCAGCAACGAGTTGGTGCGAACCAAGACCTTGCAACCCGGGCTGAACATGCAATGCAGGCGTCTGTTGGGGTGTAGGTTTTAGGGTTTAGGGTTTAGGCTTAAGGGTTGAGGGTTTAGGGTGTGGGTTTAGGGGTTTCACTCCCAAACTGCCTCAATAACTAGGACCCAGAGTAGGGGCCCTGATTCCCTTCTTTTTGGGGTTTGGGTGCCCTTAGAAGCCCCTGTAACACCCTTCGTATTCCTGTAGGCTCCCCAGTATATCTAAGGAAGTTTTCACGGCTCTTTACTTGGTCCCATACCGATATAAGCGTTCGCCAATTAAGAGCGCGTATTCAGGGACCGTGCAACTACCCCGCGAGAATATCCGAGACTAAGCAGATAGGTAGACATCTTCGGTGAGAAGAAGAGCAATAGGAGACGTAAGCAACATACACATGGCCATGAGAAGGACAAGACCGCATGAATAATATAGGGGTCGGCAGAATTTCTAATCTTATTCCCGCAAAGTCCCTTTTTAATCATACTATATTACTCCCTCAAAGTCCCGAAACGCTAAACCCTAAACCCTAAACCCTAAACCCTAAACCCTAAACCCCAAACCCTAAACCCCCTTCCCCCCCCCCCCCCCCCCCCCCAGAAAAGAAAAAGAAAAAATTAAAAAAAGAAGAGAAAAAACCTGTTCCAATTATTCAGGCCCCGTTAGGGCCCCAGAGGCTCCAAAACCCCCAAATTAAGGAATATCCCTTAAATTTTAATAGGAGCCCTAAACCCTAGACCCGAAACCCTAAACCCGAAACCCTAAACCCTAAACCCTAATATGATTTAAGGATTATTCCTTAAGTAAGGGGTTTTGGAGCCTGTAGACGCGCTTGAGGCTTTCCAGATCCGGCGTTTTTGTTCAAGTCAAACCCTAAACCCTAAACCCTAAACCCTAAACCCTAAACCCTAAACCCTAAACCCTAAACCCTAAACCCTAAACCCTAAACCCTAAACCCTAAACCCTAAACTCTAAACCCTAAACTGTAAACCCTAAACCCTAAACCCTAATCCCTAAACCCTAAACCCTAAGCCCTAAACCCTAAACCTCCTAGAGGTTTCTATGGAATACCTTTTCAAGTTCTATGGGGCTACTAATCCCTATATGACCCTATGAAGTACATAGACATGCTTAATTTCACCCTAAACCCTACCAGGGGCTTAAAGGGCTGAAGGGGTTTGAGGGCTGAAGGGGCTGAAGGGGCTGAAGGGGCTTAAGGGGCTTAAGGGGCTTAAGTTCTTTAAGGTTCTTAAGGTTCTTAAGGGGCCTTGAGGGGTTTAAGTTGTTGAAGGGGCTTAAGGTTCTTAAGTTCTTAAGAGGTTTAAGGGGATTGGGGTTGAGAAGCCCCCCGCAGTGGTCGAGACAGTGCCCAGGCTCAAGAACACCATCGTGCAGCGCCTCGGCTTATGACCCTAAAGATGTGAACCCTAAACCCTAAACCCTAAACCCTAAACCCTAAACCCTAAACCCTAAACCCTAAACCCTAAACCCTAAACCCTAAGCCCTAAACCCTAAGACCCTACTACGGCCTAAACCCCAAACGCTAAACCCTAAACCCTAGACGCAGGAGTCTTGCGGGAATCTTGGAAACCCTCAAAGCCCCCGAGTCCTCCCCCAAACCCTAAACCCTAAACCCGAAACCCTAAACCCTAAACCCTATACCCAAAACCCTAAACCCTAAACCCTACACCCTAGACCCCAAACCCCAAACCCCCTGACCCCCAAACCAGCCTGAAGCCCCCCAGCCACCACACCCAACTTGAAGGTTTCATGGGTAGCTACAGGGCCCCCTGCAGGCCCTAAATGCCTGAAGCCTAAAACCCCCTCCCCCTGCGCAACCCTAAACCCTAAACCCTAAACCCTAGACCCTAAACCCTGAACCCTAAACCCTAGACCCTAGACCCTAAACCCTAGACCCTAAACCCTAAACCCCAACTCCTAAACCCTAAACCCTGTGTCCTGAGGATTGATGCCCACCCCTTCATGCAGTACTACCAGAAGAAGTACGGCCTCGACTTGGGAAAGAAGAAGAAGACGGGCGGCCTGCCTTTAGGGTTTAGGGTTTACGGTTTAGGGTTTAGGGTTTAGGGTTTAGGGTTTAGGGTTTAGGGTTTAGGGTTTAGGGGTTTAGGAGATTCTGAGGCGTTAGGGTTTTCGGGGTTGAGGGTTTAGGGGTTTCGGGCTTTAGCGTTTAGGGTTCAGGGACGGTTAAGGGTTTTCGGGGTTTCGGTATTAAGGTTCAGGGACGGTTCAGGGTTTAGGGTTTAGGGTTTCGGGTTTAGGGTTCAGGGGCGGAAGCCGTGGAGAGTAGAACCTGGAACCCTCTCAGGGCTGGATGACCTCACAAACTAGGGTTTAGGGTTTAGGGTCTGGGGTTTAGGGTTTAGGGTTTAGGTTTAGTGTTTAGGGTTTAGGGTTTAGGGTTTAGGGTTTAGGGTTTAGGGTGAGCCCTAAGTCAGCCATGCTAGGATGGTGTGCAGGCTTCTGCCCCGCGTCCGTAGCAAGGCTGGGTTTAGGGTTTAGGGTTTAGGGTTTAGGGTTTAGGGTTTAGGGTTTAGGGTTTAGGGTTTAGGGTTTAGGGTTTAGGGTTTATGGTTTAGGGTGATTTGCGCCGAGCACCGTGGTGGTCTAGGGTTTGGGGGTTTCTGGGTACTTATTAACCAATTATAACTGTACTTAGAACTGTACTTACAACCATGTTAGGGCACTTGAGGGGCTTATCAGTGGGTTATAAGTACAGTTATAGCCGGTTTATAAGTACCATAAACCTCCAAGCAGGTTGAGAGGCGGCTTAACCAGAGGGTCTTACACTACTCTTTGCTTCAGAGCCTCAAAACACTCAACGTGTTCTTGATTACAAGGCCAATATAGGGCTTCTCTTTTGTTTGTTTTTCTTGTGGTTCTTCCCTAAGCTCTAAAGCCTAAAGCCTAAACCCTGACCCTAAACGCTGAACCCTAAACCCGGTGGACAAGGCTTAGCAAGCGAGCCTCAGGTGCTGCGGACAAGGGCGACAAGAAGGAGGAGGCTAAGGAGGAGGCCAGCGACTTAAGGGGTTTAGGGTTTAGGGTTTGGGGTTTAGGGCTCAGGGGGGCTATCTTTAAGGGTCGTTGGGTTGATGGTTCCAACTGCTCAAGCGGCTAGAGATTCATGTAGGGTTTAGGGTTTAGGGTTTAGGGTTTAGGGTTTAGGGTGTAGGGTTTAGGGTTTAGGGTTGAGGGTCTTCTTGATCCAAAAACTGAAGACTTGCTGTGGGTCAGGCCGGCGCAAGACATAGTACTGAAGCCGTATCAAGGACTTACAGACCGAGCCTTGCAGGACCAGTCTTCACACAGGCTCAGTGTACCCGAGGCTCTTCTAGGGTTTAGGGTTTAGGGTTTAGGGTTTAGGGTTTTTGGGCTACAGGTCTTTTGGGTTTAGGGAGCATGAGATATTCGAAGAACTGTTTCGAAGTAGTTGTTGCAGCCAGGCCACAGATCTCTTGCCCTCGTCTGGCTCAGATTTGAAGTTATTATTCTGGCTTGGCAAAAGATAAAGGACCCTACATTCTAAGCCCAAGCCCCAAACCGGAATAGATTTGAAGTTCTTGTTTATGGCTTAAGGTTAAAAAAAAGGGCCCTACATTCTAAGCCCAAGCCCCCCAAACCGGATCCTAGGTTTAGGGTTTCGGGTTTAGGGTTTAGGGTTTAGGATTTAGGGTTTAGGGTTTAGGGTTTAGGGGTTTAGGGGATAAAGCAATGGCCGCTGAGTCGCCGGTCGTCGGCGCCGGCGACGAAGGCCGCCTCGCGGCCCTCGTGGCGAGCCGGGTGGCCAGTATGGAGCCCCTCTTATCCCCCTTGGGGAATGACATTTCGTGTTTTTTTATATAGGGTTTAGGGTTTAGGGTTTAGGGTTTAGGGTATGAAACCTTTTATCCCCCTTGGGGAATGACATTTCGTGTTTTCGTTTATATAAAGCCCGGGGGATGATTTCGTATTGTTTGTTTATATGAAACCCAAAAGAGGATGTTGGACATATGATTTTTGTTTATATGAAACCCAAAAGAGGACATTAGACATATGAGTTTTTATTAAGGTTCTAAGGGGAGTAGAGGCCCTGATTAGTTTTTATCAAGGTTCTAAGGGGAGTGGAGGCCCTTCGACGAGAGCTTCCTCAGGGCAACTCCCGCGTGGCAGGTGCTGCGATCCTGCGGTGCTGCATTGAGGTGGACCAACAGAGACCTTTATGATCGGAGCTTTCCTGTGGGTGCGATCCAAGTTTTCTGGAGCCACAGCTGGCACGGCAACAGCTACATGAAGAGGCTACTCTTGCTTTTGCTCTACAACGGGCCTGCTGCCGCGGCTGCCGCCGCCATCTCCGCTTTGCTGATGATGTCTTTGCACATTGCTGGATACCTACCGGGGGTCCTCCGAATTAGCAGAACACCGCTGGATCAAGGGAGGGAGATGGTCTTTGGCCCCTGGTGTACATTGACGGCAGGGCTTGCATTCGTGGTTGTTCTTCTGCTTTGGAAACCAAGGAGCCTTGTCTTCCTGGACCAAGTATGTATCAATCAGAAGGACGCAGAGCAAAAGAAGAAGGGGATTCTCAGCATTGGTGCTTTCCTCAAGCACTCTGATCAGTTCTTGCTCGTCTGGGACAACACCTATGCTAGACGCTTATGGTGCCTGTTAGAGCTTGCAGCATTCCTGAAAAGTCATGAACAGCCAGATGAGAAAGTTACAATCAGGCTCACAGCCATGGCCCCCTGCATTTTGGGCTCTGCGCTTGCTCTTTGGGCTTCCATGCTGCATTTCATCTTGGTGAGTGAGCAAACTCCTCCGGGCATTCTGGTGCTTGTGCTGACACGGTGGTTCCTTTTGTACATGAAAGCCTCCTATCTGCGCCAGCTTTATCGGAACGCGGAGATCATGCTCAAGCAGCTTTCCGATTTTACAGTCCAAGCCGCGCGCTGCCACTGCTGCAATGACGCAGAGGACTGCAATGCTAAGGTCTGTGATCGTGAGATCATCACGCGATGCCTTCGAATGTGGTATGGCTCGGTGGAAGCCTTTGAGGAGACTGTAACTTAGTAGCTGAGTGAGTACACTTTGCACTTTTTGGGAGACTACAACCCCTATAAAACTGAAAGTGTACACTTTTTGGGGGCTTATGAACTCAGCAACCAAGGTAAGGACGCACGTCAGGAGCGTGCTACACCGCCAGTTGGGTGGATTGTTGTTTCCTTATGGTTGGCAAGTCATCAGTGCCTCGCCTCTGTTCTGGGGCTTTGCAGATCTCATCGCGGCCCGCGGGCGTGCCGGAAACTGGGAGGTGGCTGGAATCATGTTGGTCGGCGCCGTGACCTGGTGCCTCTTCCTCTTTCCCTTCATCTTTCAGGCCACGTTGCTGTTGGCAAGTTACTGCCGCCAACAGCAGAGCCGTGTCTGGGAGGACAGGCTGAAAAGCCTCGCGGTGGCGTTCGTGCCGACGATGCTGTCCTTTGTGGGCCAGTGGACAGCGAGTCTCATGGCTGATGTTGCTGCCATGTTCCTTTGGATGGGCGCCTCTGTGATTCTGGCCGGGGCCTCATGGTTGGCTCTCCGGTATCAGGCCCGGCAATCGGCACTGAGCTTGTACTCTGTGGAAAAGGATAAAGGGGAGACCTGTGTGGCTGTTGTGGCCGGGAAGCCCTTTGGGGACGCCGACGCTAGTCTCTCGGATAACATCCGTGTGGGGGACTGACTAAGGCCTGGTGGCCTAGTGTCCTGGGACCTCTTTCTGTGGTCCCGTCCTCCAGCAGTCGATGATAGGCAGGGCATCTATCTATCTACCATTATCTAACTCGCTGACTATCTATCTAGCTAGCGATCTATCCTCCTATCGATCCATCGATCAAGTATACAGTTTTGTATCCTATATCTCTGTATATATTATAGGTATATCTATCTGTATTAAGTTACCGAGACTAAAAAGAGCAAGCTGCTTTGCACACAGTGTGCCATTCCGCTTCGGAGTTTTCCTGGCTCTCGGTCGGACCAGCTCAAGACTCTTCGTGAGATGAGCCTGGCTTAGGGTTTGGGGCTCAGGTCTAAAGGTTTAGGTTTTAGGGCTTCGGGCTTAGGGCTTAGGGTTTAGGGTTTAGGGTTTAGGGTTTAGGGTTTAGGTGACTTCTCGGCGAAGCCCCAGCTTTCAAAGGAATCTTGGCCTCCTCCAGTCGAAGCAGGATTTGTTCCTGCGAAGGCGAAGCCAAGATTCCAGGTTCAGAGGTTTAGGGTTTAGGGTTAGGGTTTGGGGTTTAGGGTTTAGGGTTTAGGGTTTAGGGTTTAGGGTTTAGGGTTTAGGGCTACGCTCATCCCTGGTTGCTACCATCGTGTGCTGTGTGCTTCGCCCCTTGCTCAAAACCTGGACACGTTCGGCGACCAAAGGGGCAGAGATCGTTCCAGCGTGAGCCTTTTAACAGCTTGGTCCGATTAATACAGCGGTCGGAATAAAACTAGTAGCATTCTCTTGTGGTCCCTTGATAATTACACTATCATAATCCCCAAAACCCTATTCTAATTATTGAGGCCCATCAATTGCGTTACCGGATCCGCTTCTTTCATTCTCACATGCCTGGCTTGCGGGCGCTTTTAAATGGGCCAAGATGCAGCGAAGCTGCCGGTAGCACGGTTACTATGTCCGATGAGCAAGTCATGATGTGATGTTCACGTTACGACCACATCCCAAGCCAGCGTGGAGATCAACTTCAGTGCTTAGCTTTGTGTCTCGGTTGATGTTCACAGTATAGGAAGGTGTTTCCTGTTTGGTTTGCGTTTGCTGTGCTGGTACTGGGTTTCTGAACCTATGTCACTTTCTCAGCTCAATGCGGCTGAGAGATAGTGGCTTGCGCGGAGATCTTGGAGGGTCCGAAATCGGGAGAGCCCTAGACCCTAAATCCTATCAACCCTAAGCCCTAAACCCCTAAACTCTAATCCCCTAGACCCGAAATCCCAAACCCTGAGCCCTAAACCCCTGAACCCCAAATAGGCCCCCCAGAAATTTTTAAGAATCCCTAATTTCGGACCCCCCCCCCCCCCCCCCCCCCCACCCCCCATGTAGGCTTCTTGGGGTCCTTCCCAAAACCATAAGTCCTAACCTCCAGATCCCAAACAGAAACCGGAAACTCCATGGACAAAATTTGAAAACCCGAAATGTCCGAACCCCCAAACCCCAAACGAGAAATCGGATTCTGGGGTTCGCAGGTCAAGCTCAGCCGCCATGTGATTGCCAAGCAGAAGGCCCGCGCAGCTAAGCCGCTTGGCCTGCGGTTTCGGGGTTCAGGGCCGTAGCGGTTCAGGGCCGAGGTTGGGATGTTCCTCCTAATGCTAACAGTCCTTAATCGAGGTTATGGTAGGGGAACATCCCAAGGGTATGCGGGTTTTAGAGTCGAGGGTTTGCAGGGCTTTTTTGCTCTTCGAGAAGTCTCCATGGGGTTTCGGCAAGCAAACCCTAAACCCTAAACCCTAAACCCTAAACCCGAAACCCCAAACCCCAAACCCTAAACCTCTCGCCCCCAAAAACCCAGGACCAAGCTCGACACCTTGCTGGAGGACGGCGCGTTGCTGTCGGAAATAGGGTGCGCTTGGGGCGATGGAGGGCCCCTGAACCCGAAACCCTAAGCCCTAAAACCCTAAGCCCTAAGCCCGAAGCCCTAAACCCTAAACCCTAAGCCCTAAGCCCTAAACCCTAAACCCTAAACCCTAAACCCTAAACCCTAAACCCTAAACCCTAAACCCTAAACCCTAAACCCTAAACCCTAAACCCTAAACCGTCCCATGCTCAGAGGCCTAACGCTTGGCTTGGCAGTGGGACTCCCCTCCGCGGGTCTTTGCTTCCAGCATCCCCAAAACGACTCCCCACATGGGGGTTTAGGGTTTAGGGTTTAGGGTTTGGGGTTTAGGGTTTAGGGTTTAGGGTTTAGGGTTTAGGGTTCAGGGTTTAGGGTTTAGGGTTGGGGGTTTAGGGTTTAGAGCAACCCCCAAACCCTCAACCCCATGAGGGGGGTTTCCGAAATTAGGGGTACCCTTTTTGGGGATTATAGCATTGTTTGGTTATATTCAGGGTACCCCTATTTGGGGAAACCCCCCTTTGTAGCCCTAATTGGGGGAGCCTTGTTATAGCCCCCAAAAACACTACATAGACAAAGAAATATGTGTGTATATATGTATGTACGTATGTACGTATGTATGCATGCATGGATGTATATATGTATGTATGTATGTATGTATGTATGTATGTATGTATGTATGTATGTATGTATGTATGTATGTATGTATGTATGTATGTACATATGATAAATTAGGGCCCATACTTTCGGATCCCGATGAACAAGGGCAAGGGACCGTACTAAGGGCCTATGGTTCCGGGAAACCCTGAACCTTAAACCCGGTGGGTTTAGGGTTTCGGGTTTAGGGTTTAGGGTCTGGGGTTTAGGGTTTAGGGTTTAGGGTTTAGGTTTTGGGTTTCGGGTTTAGGGTTTAGGGCGTCTTGGGGGCGGAGCGGCTCCTCCGGAAGGAGAAGAGGAGAGAGAAACACCCTAAATCCTCAACCCTAAACCCTAAACCCCATTGGGGGTGTTAGGGGGCTCCTCCTAAGGGGGAAGAGCATAGAGAGAAACCCCTAAACCCTAAGCCCTATACCCTAAACCCCAAACCCCAAACCCTAAACCCTAAACCCTAAACCCAGGAGCAATTTCAGAGCGGCCGCCTCTTGGCTTGCATCGCATCAAGGCCCGGGCAGTGCGGCCGCGCTGATGGCTATGTCCTGGAGGGTGAGGAGACCGAAAGTTCAATGGGTTTAGGGTTTAGGGTTTAGGGTTTAGGGTTTCGGGTTTAGGTTAAATGGGGGAATTGGGTGTTTAGGGTTTAGGCAGGGGTTTTGGAGAGTTTCAGGGTTTTTGGCGGTTGGGAAGCTTTTTTGTTTGGGCTTTTGGGTTTGCGGGGGTTTGGATTTAGGTTGGTTACGTCAAAGCCCTGTAAGACTCTCCGACACCCCACAAGCTCTGAACACCAAACTCCACGCTGAGCCCGAAGCTGTTAGCTCCCTAAGCCCCTGAGCTCGGATGCTTGTTTGCCCAAAGCCCTAAGCCCTAAGCCCTAAGCCCAAAGCCCTAGGCCCTAAGCCCGAAGCCCAAAACGCTAAACCCGAAACCCTAACCCTAACCCTAACCCTAACCCTAACCCTAACCCCCTGAAGCCTAAAGCTTCCGAGCGTCCAGGAGCTCAACTTCTACAAGCGCAAGCTGGAGAAGAAGAAGAAGAACTGAGGGAATTCCCTTGGCCAAGGGAACGCGGAGCTGCTTCGGGTGGCCGGAGAAAAAAAGTTGGGCCAGGGAACCTTAGCCCAAGCCCTGAAGCCTTGAGAACCTAAACCCTAAACTCCTAAACCCTAAACTCCTAAACCCTAAACTCCTAAACCCTAAACTCCTAAACCCTAAACTCCTAAACCCTATACCCTAAACCCCAAGGCTTTCTGGGGTAGGCCCAAACCCTGGAGCTACCGGGGAGTAGAGGACCGATAGAAGGCAGTGCTGCTGGTGGTGCCTCAGCTTTTTGGGTTTAGGGTTTAGAGTTCAGGGTGCAGGTTTGGGGTGTGGGGGGTAGCCTACACCCAAGACCCAAAACCCTAAACCCTGCCAGCCGAAGGGGTAGATGCTGCCCTGCAGCCTAAACGCGAAACCCTAAACCCTAAACCCTAAACCCTACACCCTACACCCTAAACCCTAAACCCTAAACCCTAAACCCTAAACCCTAAACCCTAAACCCTATACCTTTTAACCCTAAACCCTACACCCCTAAACCCCAAGCTGGGTTTTCCGTCCTTTCCAGGAGGCACCAGCGTCTCCCAAGGCGCGAGCGCGTGCGGGCACGTGCGTTTTGTGTCAGAGAGAGCCTTTGAGAGAGGCGTGGGGATTCTTGCGTTCTGGGATTCTGGAATTCTAGGGTCTTGGGTTTAGGGTTTAGGGAAGGTGTAGGATTACAGGGTTTAGGGTTGTTGGGGCTATGGGGTTTAAGGTTATGGGGTTTAAGGTTTAGGGGTTTAGGGTTTAGGGTTTAGGGTTTAGGGTTTAGGGTTTAGGGCCTGAGAGGCTTCGGGCTCCTCCAACTCTGCCTCGGCGCAGTCGCCCGCCGCCTTGCCGCCGGAGAGCTCAGAGTCTCCGCGCTGTGCGTGTCATGGGGAAGTAGGGGTTGGGGTTTAGGGTTTAGGGTTTAGGGTTTAGGGTTTAGGGTTTAGGGTTTAGGGTTTAGGGTTTAGGGTTTAGGGTTTAGGGTTTAGGGTTTAGGATTTAGGGTTTAGGATTTAGGGTGTAGGGTTTAGGGTTTAGGGTTTAGGGCGCGCAGGTCGAGGGAGTGCTGTTGAGGGGTGTGAGGCTGGAAGCGGAGGTTGGAACTCAGGCAGGGGTAGGCGTCAGGGTACAGAGTTATTGGGTCGGGTTTAGGGTTTTGGGTTTAGGGTTTAGGGTTTAGGGTGTAGGGTGTAGGGTTTAGGGTTTAGGGTTTAGGGTTTAGGGTTTAGGGTTTAGGGTTTAGGGTCTAGGGTTTAGGTTTTAGGGTTTAGGGTTTAGGGTATAGGGTTTGGGATTTACGGCTTGGGGTTTGGGGGGTGTTCGGGTTTTTTCCTGTGGCCATTGCGGCCCAGGCCGACGACGTCGTTTCAAAGCTCCACAGGCGGCGAAGGGGCACTGTTCTTACTTAGGGTTTAGGGTTTAGGGTTTAGGGTTTAAGGTTTAGGGTTTAGGGTTTAGGGTTTAGGGTCATTCCCTGCTAACCAACAGTAAGTGCTTGCCCTGGTGCCTTGGTGCTCTCGCTTCGTAGGTGGCTCCAGCTGTCGAAGTCCCCCAAGATCCTAAACCCTAAACCCTAAACCCCAAACCCCAAACCCTAAACCCTAAACCCGAAACCCTAAACCCTGAACCCTGAACCCTGAACCCTAAACCCTAGCCCCCCCCCCCCCCTCTAGGGCCTGCGCCCCTTCACGGATGGAGCAGTAGACTTCTCCCGAAGTCTCAGCTTTCGGCCTCAGGATGTTTGAGGATGTGTTTCTCCACCCTTTGGATCCTAAACCCTAAACACTGAAATTCCTCAGCCTGAACCCGCAAAAGCCATGCTGAAAACCCGGTTTAGGGGTTAGGGTTAAGGGTTTATTGTTTAGGCTTTAGGGTTTCATCCCCGAGGCCCCGAACCCCAAAAGCCAAAAATCTTTGCCCGGCGCGAAGCCCAAAAACCTCATACCACCAAACCCACAACCCTAACCCCCAAGCCCCCTGCAACCCTAAACCCTAAACCCTACCCTAAACCCTAAACCCTAGACCCTAAACCCTAAACCCTAAACCCTAAACCCTAAACCCCAAACCCCAAACCCTAAACCCTAAACCCTAAACCCTAAACCCACTACCCACTAAACCCTAAACCCACTAAACCCTAAACCCACTAAACCCTAAACCCACTAAACCCTAAACCCACTAAAACCTAAACCCACTAAACCCTAAACCCACTAAACCCTAAACCCACTAAACCCTAAACCCACTAAACCCTAAACCCTAAAACCTAAACCCTAAACCCTAAGCCCTAAACCCTAAGCCCTAAACCCTAAACCCTAAACCCTAAGCCCTAAACCCGAAACCCTAAACCCCAAAAACCAAACCCGAAACCTTCCACCTTCACGCCGAGACAGGCTCCTTCACTCGAGCGCGGCGTCTGTCAAGAAGCATCCTCAGCCACTGCCTGTTCCCTGTTATGATTCGGAAGTGGATGAGGGGGGACCCTTAAACGGGAACCCTTCTGAACCCTCTTCTGGCTCTCTTAAACAGGGACCTTGTTCCGAGGGTCTCTGTCCCCAAGGGGGTCCCCGAATCCTATCCCCTAATGGTCAGGGTTTGAAGGGCTTAGGGTTTAGTGTTGGGATAACCCTAAACCCTAAACCCTAAACCCTAAACCCTAAACCCTAAACCCTAAACCCTAAACCCTAAACCCTATAATATACCAACAGTCGACTGCTTAGTATGAGGGGGACACATCCCAAGTTGAGTGTGCTGCGTTTGGGGTTGAGCGGCTCGGGCTTGGGGTTCGGCATGTCGGGTTACGGTTTAGGGGTTTAGGGTTTAGGGTTTAGGGTTTAGGGTTTAGGGTTTAGGGTTTAGGGTTTAGGGTTTAGGGTTTAGGGGTTTAGGGGTTTAGGGTTTAGGTTTATGGGGGTTTAGAGTTTAGTAACAAAGGCATGAGTTGATTCTGATCACGGTTTTCATCGATCTTCACAGGCCTTTGTTCTACTGACATGATGGCCCGTTAGTTCACTTTCTATTGAGAGATGACATGGCCCCCCATAAACTACTAATAGAGGTGTCATTAGCAATAAAGACATATAGTAAGAATATATAAAGAGGTGGAGGAAAACACGACAAATACTATTACTGATGCTTGCGTGCGAAGTGAATTACAATGCATGCCCTGTTCACAATATAGTGAACGCACGAAAAGCCCTTTAAAGTTATTGAGTTTGTGATCTTTCATATGGTTTCGGGTTTGAAATCCCAGGGGTCAATGCTCTAGGAACAAAGAGCACCCCCCCAAAAAAGAAATAAAAAACCTAAACCCCGAGAAAGAGCCTGAAGCATGAACCCTCCACCCTAAAGCCTAAACCTTAAAACCCTAAACCCTAAACCTTAAAACCCTAAACCCTAAACCCTAAACACTAAGCCCTAAACCTGTAAACGGTTTTGGGGAGCCCCCTTTGTGTCCCGAACGGCCCCCTGAGCCTTTCGCCCCCTCAGCATTTGGGGTTTAGGGTTTACAGTTTGGGGTTTAGGGTTTAGGGTTTAGGGTTTAGGGTTCAGGGCAGCAGAATCCACCAGCGTTGCAAGAGGCCCCCCCTCCACCAACAGTGGGCCGAACAGCGCGTGGGCCTCGGATTCAGAGCCACGAGTGGGGGGCTGTTGCCACACCCTGAGCCCTCCAACTGTAGGACCCCCAAGCACCAAATTTCCTTTGGGGTTTGGAGTTTAGGGTTTAGGGTTTAGGGTTAGCCCCCTGAACCCCCAACCCTGTAGGTCGCAGAGTGCCATCATGAAAGGCACCGAGACCGGGTTTCTGGGCCTGTGGGCTCAGGGCTTCGCAGCCCTGAGACCCTAAACCCAACACCCCCAACCCTAAACCCGGGAGGAGGGTTTAAGGTTTAGTGTTTAGGGTTTGGGGAACCCTGTGGAAGTTTCGAAAGTCGAAGGTTTAGGTGTTTGCGGGCAAAGGCCCAAGTTTCGTGGGCAATGGCACCTCTATGAGCTTCTATGTGAAGTGGAATAGTTCCCTAATTTTGTGGGACTCGATGGGCGGGGGTGGGGTATTTCCCATCGCTTGAAAAGCTGCTTGACTAGTGAATGCTCTGACTTGAGATGCTGAACCCTAAACCCTAAACCCTAAAACCCCAAACCCTAAACCCTAGACCCCAAACCCTAAACCCTAAACCCTAAACCCTAAACCCTAAACCCTAAACCCTAAACCCTGAACCCTAAACCCTAAACCCTAAGCCCTAAACCCTAAACCCTAAACCCTAAACCCTAAACCCTAAACCCTAAACCCTAAACCCTAAACCCTCAACCCTAACCTCTCTTGAGCGCCGAGTCCTTCCTGTCGGCACCGAGCAGCTTCCTCTCCTCAGGGGCCTCGCGGTCCTCCAGGCGGAAAATCTCTGGGCCACGGGGACCCGAAACCCTAAGCCCTAAGGCCTAAGCCCTAAACCCTAAACCCTAAACCCCAAACCCTAAACCCTCTTTCTTATATATATATATATATATACATACATACATGTTTTGACCTTAATGG